CATACTTCCCCTCTGGAGAAAGCTACCAGTTCAGAAGACTATTGTAAGTTTACCTGACATGTACCATCATCAAGACCGCCTCTCTTCAAGTACATCTTTTTGCACACCAGTACCAACTGAATAGTTAGAATTCCAACTAAATCAGCAGCCCAACAGGACAGCATTCCATGCACTTGCTCATGTTAGTTCAATCTTCCATCTATTGTCAAGGTCTCTGAACCTACCAGCAGAGTCTGGAAAAAAGGTAGTTTGATTTTTGTGGTAAATCAGCCTTGAATGTTACAGCTCCCATCCCTTAAAAAGGAAGTATTTTTATTAAGAAAATTCTCCAGATGTTAATTTATTCTTTCACTGATATTTACTATTGTAACTATTATGTCTATTAAAGAGTATATTAAACAATTATAGCTAACTACACATGCTCCCCCCCACCCAGCATCTCTCATATTCTCCTATCAATGTTTTCAAACCTCCAGCCTTCCCAAAGTATCTGCATCAGAGTAAAATACCAAAATTATTAAGAACTGAGCTTTTAGCACTGAGGTAAATATTGGCAAGCACTTCAATTTCTGGTCATTTAGGTGACATCTGACACTAAGGAAAGAACATTTCCTTTTCCTTTGCTTTTCGTGAACAGGACAAAATGACCAATCTCTACTTTTTCCATGGACTGCTATAAATATGAAATCATTGTCAACAATGCAGCTGCCCATAAAAATGAACATAATGGGTAACTCAGACTTTATTAAATCAGTTTTAAGAGAATAAAGAATTAAATTGTATCCCATTACAAAACATAAATTGACCATTGTTCTGGTTTGTGGGAGTCTGAGAAACAGCAACAGATGATAGCAAGTAAAATAAAATAATTTATAGCAGATAGAGAAAAATTCCTTCAGCTGATCTATAGCACAGCCTTTAACTTCTGACCTTTTAGAAATAATTTGGGTCTGACCAGCTGCAGTTTGAATGCACATACTGTGTGCAGTGCACGTTTTTCATTGTAACTGAAAAGGGGGGTGGGGGGTGGTTTGGTTATGTTTCTGGTGGTCTGGTTGGGTTGTTTTTTGAGGAGAGGTTTTCAGTATCAGGTCCCCCCAACTTAAACACAAGAAAAATGAGAGCTTTCTTCCTTACATTTTTTGAGATGTATTACCCATATGCCCATCCTCATATCAAAGCGTATCTTTCCACATTCTCAAAGTGCAAGAATTTTGATCAAGAGTTCCCAAACATGAGGAAAGCATCCTGAGGGTTCTTATGTTTTAAATGGAAAGTATAAAAACTACAGTAACTCCTTTCCATTCTGTTTCAGCCACAATGTGCCTCATGTACAGGGCTCCAAGGCAGAGGCTATAGAAATTAGGACTGTAGAATATACATATGGATAACACTTCCCAAAGATGTGCTGTTCAGATACGGAGAAGTAACTGATCAAGTTCTCTTTTGAATTACTAATTCAACTATTCAGTGCTTAATGACCCTTTACAATGTCTCTGATTTATCTGGTGATAGAAGCAAAATCAGGAATTGTGGGACAGAGGCCCAAAGAAAACAGGTATAAATATTATGAACAGCATCCTGTAAATTCAACATAGCTATGTGTACGCAAACTATCTGGTATTAAGTAAGCAATTCAAGTCTTCAATAATAAGAACTTTACAGACTCATTGCAGATCTTTCTATAGCAGTCTAAGTTTGATTTTGGCAGACCAAAAGTCCATTATAAAAACCTTGATTTACCTGGCCAACATAAGGAATCTGAGTGGCTTAGCCCTAAATCAGTTTGCAGGGTTCATTGACTGGAACAGTAAAATTTACTTGGATGTAAACAAAAAAATCATATAAATTTTAGGTAATTATCACATTTTTGACAAAATTAATCCAAGCCAGGTTATTGTAACTTTGCAGTTGGTGTGGATAGGCTTCACTTGCAGAACCATGCAGTGCTAGGAGACCTTCAAGGAGGATATAGGAAAAATAATTACATAAAATCATAACATAGTTTTAATAGAATTAAAAAAATACTAAGAAAAACATAAAAATCAGTCTTTCAATACGGTAGTCTTAGAAAACTAATATTTCTTACAGCTGCTTGACTACATTAAACACCCATCAAAATACCTGTTGCACTTCCAGATGCACAGTGTGAACACAGGTTAGAGAACAGTGGCTATGTGTGTGGTGTGTGTAACTGCATTAAAGTGTTTTGAAGAAAACAACTGCACTCTTTAAGCCAAGCCTTTCACATCACTACGAAAAGCCCAGGGAGAGAAATGAAAAAAATGTTTTATTTTGATATTTAACTTCTAAATTACAGTAACATAAAACATTTATTTCTGCAAATGTCAACTGCATTCTGTTTTCAACAGCTCATGTGTTCATGTAGAGGTACAAATTATGGCAACAACTATACTTATCATTCAAAATGCTGAACACACTGCCATATCTTGAACCTTCAGCTTTCCCATGCTTTTTCCACCCTCCCAGAAAATATACTTTAAAACATCCAAACAACGTCCACACACTTGAGTCTAGTAGAGATTAAAGGGATCCTTTGCTATTGACATTTTTAGTTTACTAACGCTTGACAGTAGTAGCAAGCTACCCTCTGTGTGTTAACATATTTGGTTTAAAATTAATTTTTAACATGGATTTTTGTTGTTGTTCTCTTACAAATTCAGTACCACGTCCTTCCAGCACCAAAATATACACCATATTTTTCTAGTTTTTTAAAGCCTTGTGGCTTTGTAAGAAAAAACTACACTAAATCAGATTATTTTCTCACTTTTGTATATTTTATGTGGGCAGTCCTACCCTAAATTTTCAACTAATTACATTGTCTTTCTCCTGAGAACATATAATACGCTGTTTCCACCTCATGCTAAGAAGGAATAAAGGAATTATTCTTCTTCCTTCCCCCTCTTTTCCCCCCAGTGGATTTTATTGGCATACACATAGACCTTTTATAATAAAAAACAAACAAAAAAAAAAGATTTGCAGGATTGTACAGCATATTTTGAAGGAATAAAACATTTATGACAAGTGATTCTTTGTGCAACTGCCTTTGTTTTTGAAACTGAACTTTCTTTCATTCAAAATGAACACTTAATTCCACCTAGTAATACCAGTTCTGCCACTGAATTTAATGGAAACACAAAATCTTCCCAATCTTTAGTCTAGCATAAAGTAACAGTATGCGAGGTGTGACCTGCCATGGAGGAGAACAGCATCACCTTCACCTGCTAACTGCTAAGGAATTGCTTCCTCCTAGTGTTTTGCAGCTTTGGTTACATTTCTCTGCGTGGCAGCTCTTCAGCACACCAATTTTGTAACCCTTCTGCCTGTGCCTTACCACTCTAATCTCTTTCTCTAGTAAATCAGCAAGAAATGCACTGAATCAACATCCTTCATAGCTGGATTTAGTAGAGAATCATTTACTCAGATATTGTGAGTTAGATCTTTTCCACTTAGTGTTCTTTCAAATTCAGGAAACAGGAAAAGTAAGACCATCATGTTCATGGACAAGGCTCTCCAAACCTGACGCATACATCCAGTTGACAACAGAATTACATGATACAGCTGCAAAGCATGACACAGTTCTGCCATCAATGGCCATGGTCAAATAATTGTTACAGCACTTTCTTACTCCATCTGTGACAATTTCAAGAGTCTTTTGTTTGAAATGTCAAACGATTAAATATAAAGTGGCACAAAAACCCCAAAACAAAACAGAAGCATTACAGCTACTCAGCCAAAACCATCCCTGGCTTAATAGTTCTACCTCATTCTATTAAAATGGATAATACAGTGTAAGTTAGCAATGTCCAATTCTCATCTATCAAAACTGAGAGAATATTTGAGGTGTTTGAGTTCTCCCTTGATGTATTCCCAAAGTAACCTCCTATTAGTGGAAAGTGAAGACAGGTTAAATGAGACAGAATCTGTCCCCACAAGCACAATTAGCAAAGGCACATTTATACGGTGTTCTTTACTATTTGCTGTTATCATGCTTACTATAATAGTGCCCAGACTTGTAGTTACATAGATGGGTTCTACTTACTAGAAGTTGCTCTTTGGAAACAGCAAGGATATTTTGGGTGATGGGGTACTGACCCAGTCACTGCAGAAGACAGGACATGTGTGCTTTTTCAGATGAACATGTCCAGTGCAGTTTTAGCATTTTTTTTTCTTAATATAACACTAGTAATATACTGTCTTCAGCACTAAGTAATGATAAGTAGTGTGAACTCCAAAATAACTCATTGGCTTCTATTTACTGGTTGGCTCAAACCAAAGCAAAGCATTTATGCCTGTTAACTGCTTAACTTGTTTTACCCCAGGTGATTTGTCCTTGAAGGGTAATTTGAAATCCCCCATAAAGCATATTCAGCTCATGACTAAACAAATCCAGAATGATGTTTTAAATACAAAATCTGGTCTTCCTTTCCCCATCTCTTTAAAATATTCTTTATATCAGCCCTTCCAGGAAGAAAACAGGAAGTTTTGTTTCCATGGTAACACCCAGCATATGCAAGATCTATATATTTGCCTATTATAAAAATGATACTTCAGGCTCAGTACAGTACTACTTGTGAGTCATCATAGCCAGATTGTGGAGAAGAGACAGGAGAATCATATATGGAGGGAGATGTGCTTATCCAAAATTAAATACTGAGACATGTTAACATTTGGGAAAGAGCAGACCGTAAGGAAAGGAGCTCAAACATTTTTAAAGGACAATGATTTCTTCTAATGGAGAATTTCTCGATCTCACCTTTGGCATTTTATCTTCCTTCTGAAAAAGATTCTGCTCTCATTCACTACAACACTCCTGCCATCAAGTATATCAGCACTTAAAACTAGAGGCTGGACTACAAAATTTACAACTTAATGTTCCAAGCTATTTTATGTGCAGTTGCAAGATTATTTCTAGCAACAAAAAAGAAGTCAGTTTTGTATATGGCATCTGTAAACAGTGTAAGTATTATGACATTAAATTAGTAGTAGGAATAATTTTTAAATGTGTTCTCATCTATTTTTCCATGGTGCATTTTTCAAATCATGAAAGACTTTTATATAAAGACAAACAGATTCAAGTTTACTGGCCATAAAAAGATCTTGTAGGAATAACGGATCGTCTTCAGGGAGTATTTGTTCCTTCAAGTAGATTTAGTGCTGAGACAGTGTGGTAGTTAAAGCACAAACAGAGGCTGTTGCTAAAGTGGCAATGCATAATAATGCTGTAGTGTATTATAAGGGAGCAATTGCCTGCAGTTCATCAGTGTGGATGTGGCAATGAAGTTCTGCTTTACATATTTCAGGCACTAAGAATTTTGTAGCAGTGATTACAGGAGGTTCTTCTTCCCCTATAAAAGGAAAAAGAGTGAGGTTAATTCACTGAAATGTTTTGTATTTGGTCAACATTTTAGAAATAATGAAAAGAAAACTTATGAAACCTCTCTGGATCATAATGCCATATATTCATGAGGCTCAGCTACCACATTCTGTAACTCCTTATTGAAAGAATTAATACAAATATTCTCCCCAGGCAGGGCTGCTTAGAGAAGACATCATTAGTGAATGGACCTAGTAAAGGTTTGGTTGTTGGTACTTCCTCAAAATTAAGTTGGTTAGAACTTCAGTTGATGATGCCCAATATGATGATCGATTTGAGAATCGTTGCAGCTCAGTAGCCTGTGCATGAACTGCACTGAAAGACAGAAACTCCTACAGTTAATGTGATTTAGGATTTTAATTCAAAAATAAAACTGTCCTTTAAATGAGAATGGAAAGATCTACCTTGACATGCTAAATGACAGAGCTATTCACTTCTGCTCTGACCAAGTAATCGATAAACAATAGCTAGCCAGGTACTGTGAATTCAAAGTAATCATCTGGACGTGTCCAACTCTTACAACAAGAACAAAAGCTAAAAAAATCTAGCTACTCATCTCATTATTATGCATATATTAGGGCTTTATATTGTGTATGTCCAGGACAGCAGAAATATTTAATGGGCTGCAGTCCAAGAGGCAGTTGCTGCTCAGTTCTAAATACAATCTCCTTCTTAACCTTGTACCTAATTAGGACTGTGGTTTGGGTGAGAATGGGTCAGGATGGTGCTTTTGGACAGGGGGGAGAACAGGAAAACGGCAGAAGTTATTGTGGTTCCTTAAGATGTTGGAACATCAGTTTTAAGATCCCCCACCACCAGCCAGTGCTGTGATGTGTAACCTCTATAGCTGAAACGTGTTAACAAGTAGGTATGTGACTTGAGAACTAATTACTGGAAAGACTGCCTCTTTCTTCCAGTGCCTCCCTAGCAGCTGGGATACCCAGCTGAAAGCTCTGTGGTTGAATCAGGAGGGGGTACTGGTAAAGCATTCTTACAGAGAGGCCGTAAATTTTAAACTAGCATCCCACTTTCCTCTGACACTAGAACCTTTACAGATGTCAGCTGTAACTCTTCCCACAGATGTGAGAACAGGCTATGTTAGAAGATGGCAGGAAATTAAAGAATATAGTATTAATTTTGAAACAATAACAAGAGTGTGGCTTGTGTAATTAAATCAGAAAACCTGTGTATTTTCCACTTGAAAAAGTACAGATTTTTCAGGTTTTAGCCGTTTTGTCCTATAGACTATCTAGCCTACAGATATAGATGCTGTATCTGTAAATCGTGATCTGTATTCTCTCCCCCAAGATAATTCTGGTATCAAACAGTACTTATGAATTATCTAAATAAGAATCATAATTATAAAATCCATTAAGCCAAGAGAAAGCCTAGCAAATTAGCTCACTGTCAGCATTCATTCAGGAAAGCAGAACAGCACAGCACCATCAAAATGCAATATTCACCTACTGCAGCTGCTTAAAGAAAATCTTAGTGAACAGCAGTTTTATCCTATTAATACAACTGTTGCAACATTCCACACCGATGTAGTTGTGATGCCAGTTCAATGTACTGTAACTAGGAATTTCAGATCAGCTCTTTATACAGCCTGAGGCTATACTGACATCTTCTAACTGTAGGTGTCTAAGCCGAGTGCCTTCCAAGCATTTGGAGAGTGTCTTCCAAGCATTTAAATTCCTCCACTGAGACCCGTTTGTTCATTCCCTCTAGGCCCACATCCAACAAGAAGCCTAATGTCATTCTGAAACTTGAGTTAACCACAGCACAGACTGTAGTCCTACAGGTTCTAGCGTGTGCTGGAGGAAAACATGATGCCAACTTTAGATTTACAACAATTCTCTAAGAATGCTTTGTTATATTACCCTCCTGATTAAATCACAGAGCTGTCAGCTGAGTATCCCAGCTGATGAGGAGTCCCTGGAGGACAGAAGCCATCTCTCCAATAATAAGTCAGTTAATGAGAAGTAATTTTATTAATAGAATTTTTGAGAAATCTTACTTGGGTAAGAATCCCTCTCTCCCCTGAAGTAAGTTAAGGAAAGATTCATTTTAGTAAAGTCACTGACACCTACCTTGTTTACCATCTTCAGACAATATTTATCTTTCTCTGCAGCCTTTTATATAGCTCCTCACATTTAAAGTATTTTGAGGCGATACAAATATGCTCACAATAACTGAATACAACTTTTAAAACACTGCTGTATCTTACCTAAACCTGATGATGAAGAAACACTCCCTGTAATGGAAGATGTTTCAGTTTGGTCTGTCAATAGTCCTTCCATTAAAGGTAGAGATAATTCAGATGAAGGAACGGATGAATCATAGATTCCAGAATCTCGAGGCATATCTTTAAGATTTGAAGCTTTAACAACATGTAATAATGGCTGAAGAACAGAGTTGCCACCACCTTGAATGTCCTGAGTTTCTATGTCTTCTCCAAGGTTTAAGTGCTGAATTATACAGTGAGTGTCTGAATTCCCAGCTGAAATAACATTTATATCTGTTTTCAGGTAAAAATCACCATCCTGTTTATTCACTAAGTCATTTAAAACCAAGCCCGAATCAAATTTTTCCATGACAGGCTCTGAGTAATGTAAAGAAGGTGGAGGGAAGGGAATAAATTGTTTCTCAAACCAGTCTGGTTCCTGATCGATGAACTGATGCATATTGCAAATGGCAACATAAAGGGACCTCCCAGATTTGCTCCTGAAATAATTCCTTTTGCTGATGTTAACAGGGAACACCTCTGAATCCTGTACACCAAGATCTCTGGAGTGTAAATGTGAATACAGCTGAGGCAGATTGTCCATGAGTTTGTATTTCGTACTTAGATCCAGAATACCAGGGATGTCTCCTTCACAGGAGTAATCGAAGTAGACTGCGATGAACTTGCAGAGATCATTTGAATTCTGCTTTGCCTGACGAAGCTTCTCTGCAACAGTCCACACAGCAAAGAGAAAGAGTTCTCCTTTTCCGGCATCTTTGGTTATCCCTCTGTGTTTCCAGTTCTTTTTTTCAACAAAGTATTTCATTCCCTTGGAACACACAATGATGATAAACTGGGACTCATTTATTTTTTTAATAAGCCACTCTTTCTGTCTTTCTTTACAAATTTTTAGATCTTCCCACAAATCTACAGCCACCTGGAAAAGAAAAGAACATTCTGGTTGATATTCATTATTAGATATATTTCCTAACATATCTAATATATACCAGTGTTACATATAAATTTACGGAATCAACAAGTAACAGTGCAATGCCAAGTAGCTGTATGTAAACTGGATAGTTCCTTAAAAAATAAAACTACTATAGATTTGGTTTACAGTGTTATTTCCAGGGGAATAAAAAGAACATAGAAAATGTGGCTGGAGCAAGTAAATTAGTATTTACTTATCTGATCAGATTTGATATTATCAATCCACAATAAGCAATGCATTGTGCCTGTCTCAAGCCATTTAACTGTTGCAAATTTGGGTCCATGCAAGGGGAAGAACAGTCAATTTAGAGCTGTTTGGGAGATACTCTGATAAAAGTACAATGCAGGTACTTATGTCCAGTTTTGCTTCTTTTCTTAATACTGTCTGATCTGCTATCTGTGAGATAGGATTTTTAGTATGGTCAATTTATTATTTTAAATGGCTATGAAACGCTACTGGTTTTGTCCTTTATAAGAAAACATTCCAATGCCACATGAAGAATACTTGTGCAACTGTTTTGTTATGCATTGAGCACCACATAAAATGCATTGTTATGCACTGAGCAACACAGAAAACTCCACAGTTTTAATAATCATGCATATTATTTCTGTATATAGATGCTATCAATATTTTGATATATAAATCTAAAATGATGCCTGATCCCATGTGTCCCGTAGTACATAGTTACAGTAGCAGCTCCCCTTAACACTATTCCAAAGAGACACTGTGCAGCAGAGCTAAAGTGCACCGCTGAAAAGGGGATTCAAATAAGTTACTTTCAAACACCTTACCTGACCTATTTTAAATATGGGAATAAACTCCGCACATCCCCACCAAACATGTGAGGCATCGGTTGTTACTGTGTGTGGACACTAGAGGACAGACTTGCTGTACAGTTGGAAAAACAGTTCACCTAAACATCGCACTGGCAGGATTAACATGAAGCAAAAGTAGACCAACAATTGTCTTGCCTTTTTATACTTGAAAAGTGGATGACTGGCCACATATTGAGTACATTTTAGAAAGCAGGCTGAGGTCCTAAGCCTAGTCATTAAAGTAACAATTGGAACATCTTTCTCATAGATTGAGCCAAACAAGAAAAAGAGATGCTAATTTTACAGTATTAACAGAAGGGAAGTAAAACAACAAAAAATAATACATAGTGTCAATAATTAATCCTAATTACACAGATTTTGCTTTATGAGTAAGAGTTCTGATAAACTGAACTACTTTAGAGTTACAATATAAAACATATTTCAGGAATACTGAAGTGTACCAGATAGACACCAATAACTTTTTGTGGCTGCTGATTATAAAGATGCAAGACCTACTGAACAGAAAAAGCAGTTAATACAAATGAGCTAAACACAGCTGAATGCAAGTCCTGGAATCAATGCAGTACACATTTTCCACTATCACATGGTTTTTTGTTGTTTTGTTTTGTTTTTTTATGTAGGCTATGATCTGTTGCTAAGTAAAGAAAATCTACATAGCCAGTATTTAGAAGAATAACTAAAAGTTACCTTCATGGAAAAGAGAGATTGAAATACCTCCTTTTCAATCATGTATTATTAAGGTAATATTAAGGAAAAACAGTTCACAGAAGAAATGCTGAGTTTACCTCACAGCCACAGAAGTCCTGAAGAAAATAAGCAAAGCATTGGATGACATTAACGTGTTTCTGGCAATCTTTATTGGAATAGCAGATGAACACTTTTGGCCGGGGACGGAGTCTTTCCACATGGAGACCTGCAGCATATGCTGAAGATTCTGAGCTCTCCTCATCTAGATGGGAATATATGTTTTCTACATTGGAAGAGAGAAAGAGAGTTCATACTATAAAGCTTGGTTTGGTTTGTTTTTCAGACTTGTGTAGGCTCATTACTAACACATACAGGAAGGACTTCACAAAAGATATTTCTTCCCCTTCCAACCTGAAAAGGAAAAGTTGCAAATGCTCTATTGATCCAGTTTACGAGTTGCTACATATGTGGAACAATCTTTGAAAGTGAAATGGGCAGTTATTACTGTACAACTCAGAAAACCTAGGAAAGGTTTACTTTATAAATAGAATAAGGGTGTTTCACCTCTATCCAGCTACATCTCTCTGTTCAAATACTATAAGCCCTAAGGCTGTATCATCATCAAGTTTCCTGTATAAACAAGTCTCTTGTTTTAAAAAACCCACAACACAAAACAGATAATAATATTGAACTCCATATACTTGCATACATACACACGTTTGGACACCAACTTGACATTAATGTGAATTAAGATGTTATTATACTAATTTAAATCAAAATAGCTATTAGTGTTTCTCTCCTTGCATAGATATTTTAATGCAAGAACAAAGAATGCCAGACTAATCCAATCTAGTTCTACAGCTGATTAAGCTGATTTAGAATAACGCATGAGTATTTCAAAACACAAATATCCACCATGGGATTTAATTTAGAACAATTCATCAGGAATGGCTATTCTGGAACAAGTCTCTCTGCAGAATAATCCTTGGCATTTATCTGGGTTTTCTGTTGGAACTGTGCAAACCGTGAGCAAAGGGATAACTGCAGAAGACCAGAAGGTAAAAGGATTTAACCCAGATGGCGTAAAGCACTTGCAGTATGCCTCGATGCCAGAATTCAGATGGATAACACAGGTATGTGAAGTTTGGGGAAATAATATCTTTTTCCGTATTCATGAAACCACATTATTCCCTAGATTCTATAAAAAAATGCCAACTGATTTTAACATCTCAATGTAAAAACGTGGTTTGCCAGCTCCTGGACACAGAGGAGAGAGAAGTCAGCAAAGAAGGGTGGAATGGAATTTAGAGACACATCTGCAAGTCTTAGAAAGAGTAAATTTAGGAAGATGGTTTAGGATGAAGTGTAAAAGCAACTTCCAGGAAAGTGGGCAAATGTAGAATAATAGATACTGGTAGTATTCCAGACAGTACTGAGAATTGCACTGGTATCACCTGGCTTTACTTTCCTTCTGGTTTAAAAATAAGTGAGAATTAGACATTTCAAACATATCAATTTACAGATCTGTTTGTATTCTACCAGGTCATGTAGTACCTCACAAATAAAAAGGAACCCAAAACCAAAAACACTTCCCAGCAGCAAATTCATTCTCTCCTTGTTACAGTGAAGTCTTGAATTGTGATACAAATCTTTCTATGGCAACAAATTACCATCAAGCACCGCTACAAGTTTGAACACACAAAAAGCTGCGGGTAGGAAAGAGAGAGAAGTGAAGAGAGAAAAAAAAGAAGTCTTTTCAGATAAAGGTATTTCTGGAATAAACCAACCAGGAAATACTTCTTTTGATTGCAAAGGTACATCTTTAAATGGAATTCCACACTGAATAAACCCTCTTACCTTGCTGTTTCTTGCGGCACATCACTGTGAACAGTGTTGCAAATGCCGAAATGACAACTAAAGGGACTGTGATGGCAATGGCTCTTATTGGTCCAGCCCAGGGAGAATGTACTTCAGAAAATAAAACAGAATTAGCCATATGCACATAAGCTACATTGTAATTATCTAATCGACTCTTCACTCTGGCAATGTAAAACTGCTGCAGTACACTATTATCAGGTAATTCTCAAATATCCAGTAGAACCAAACTTCATGTTCTGCTCCATTTTAAATAGGTTTTATGCTGATTGCCCCCACCCCCCCAGCATTAGAGCAACTAACATAAATTACAAGTGCTGCATGCCAACCCATCCCCTCCCCCATGAGCAGAACTTTACATGAATAAAGATATGGTAAGACATGCAACAGTCATTTGGATCTGACAGTTTTCTGTGCCAGGCTGCTGAGCTAGCCACTCAGAATGAGCTGCCTTCCTGCACAGATTACCTTTAGCAATGTGCATTAGGATCCAGTCTTTTTTACACATTGCCTTCATCTACAGCTGTGTTTTGTGTCTGCAGTTACATTCTAAAATCCCTATTTAGCTTCTCAGTGACACATAGACATACTAAGCATTCACCTGTCAGGTTTTCCAGAATGCTTGATTTGATTTCAGGGCTGCAGCACATGAGCAGGTAATGTGTTTAAGCTGCCCTCACAGTTTTATTACATTATTTCCACACTACTGCATGCACCAGCTGTATGCAATTAAGATACAGGCTGTGATTCCTCATACTCATATTTACAAGAAAAGTGACATTCCCACAAAGATTTCCAATGATACACTGATCTAAGCTGTGCCAACTATAAATATGCAGAGATGCACATGTGTATGTGCAAGCGTGCATGTCTATTCTTTTTTCATCAAGCCAAAAAATCACAGCACAATTGCCTCAATAGTCTTGATTATGGCAAACAAACAGAGAAAGGTCAAATAAAGATTTATTTACAACATAATTAAAACTGAATCTAAATTAATAAGGTAAGTACTATATACTATGTAAAAACCAAAATTCATACCTGGTTTTAGTGCATAGTGCATTGTTTTCCTTGTTGTGTTAGTGTCATCAACCAGCTTTGAAAATAAAAGTTGAATTTGATTTTGTGGAAATTTGATTTAATTTCTTTTCTGCAATATGTGAACAGCTACAACAGCTTTCATGAGCAAATGTGAAGAAACTCACTGTTCAAAAAAGTTAAAATTAAAGAGCACCGCAAACTACTAGTTAGTAAAATCATTTGTCTTTGTTAGTACACAGCTTAGTGTTATAATATTAACGTTCAGAGTTCACATACTGTCAGCATCAAGAGAAACACACAGCTTTTTAGTAAAAATTGACCAGACTACAGAATTCCGATTTTATAAAATCAAAGTCCAAGAACTGGAGGCACAGATGAAACTGTCATGCCCTCAGAGAAGCAGGGCTATGGAAAGGTCTAAAAACCCTTACTTGCCCACAGTACTTCAGTAGAAATGCCTGAAGTTCAATTTTACCAGCGTGTGACTTTAAATACTTTAATTTCAGTTAATTTCTCCACTAATGTACTCATTTAGCTGTTGTACAAATTACCATTTATAAGTATTACCTCAATTATATAATCCCCTGGAGACACGTTCTGAAGAATACAACTTGTGGTATCTGTGTTTTGCTCCTACGTCAAAGAAAGAGAAGACTTTGAAAGCCATTCACATACTTTTAAAACCTAATTAAAAAATACATTTGCATTGATTTAACAATATGCAGTGTCTTCCTGTATTAAGACACCTTAAACCAGCAAAACCTCTCCATTCAAATGTGAAATGGAGATTCCTATCGCTATCCTCTGCCTGCACAATTAAAATATGATTATCAAGAAAATCTTCAAAGTTTGGTGTAACTGATAAAGTCTACATAACCCCCTGAAGCTCTCCAGCTTTCAGAGACTTAGCATGAGAGGTTCATCAGTGAGAACAAACTTGCCATTGTGTGAAATTTGGTGCATAGGTAAAACAAAAAAGTAGGAAATAACATGTATAATAAACATAATAAAACTGCAGTTTGAAGTACTAATTAGTTGTAGGGTCTTCAAGGGAGAGCAGTCTTGTCTCATTTGCTTATAATATCCAGCTCCAAAGGAACCCTCATGCCTGGTTTTGACCGATGAGTGCTATCACAATACTGCTGTTATCTCACAATACAGTTACTATTTACATGAACAGTACCAAACAGTGCACAAATTTTAAAACTCAGAGTATTCTATATAAAGTTTTCAAAGTTTCTAGGAAACCTTAGAACATCTCACATTGACAGGTCTTGTAAAGAGTTTCAATACTCAGCAACGTACCTGTTTGCAGGTCTTTTGCTTAAATGGCCCTTCATGCTTCAGTTTGTAGTGAAGAAAGTAATATCTAAACCCAAAGTTGTGAGGTGCGTGATCAAAGGACACTTGCATGTTAAAACCCTGCTGTGTAACATTTAGATTCCTTGGCTTCCAGTCTGTCAGAGGAGATATTCGTGAATTGGAAAAAAGTCTAGTAACTTTTTGAAAGATGAATATAGACAAAGTGTAACATTTTACTTACAAGGTTTGCAGACAAGGTTTTCTGGCTGTAGCAACAATTCACATGCTACAAATACACACACAAATTATTAATTATACATATCAAAGTACTATGCTACTTAAATAGAAAAAGAACAAAGACAAAAGAAGGGAGTTCGTAATTTTGAAGACAATACCCCTGTTTCTTTCTCAGTCTCTATTATGCCTGAAGTAAATAACATTTTGCACACTTTGCTGCTTTGTTATGATTTTAAGCCCCTTCTCATCTTTATACAAGAAACAGATGTTCATTAATTTGGAAACAGCACTCCTTAGTGAGACAAAAAGATAGTAACAGGTGCAGTTAAGCAGGAGAGGAAGTTACTAGAGAAGAAACTAGTCTTAAATACATCTTCTCAGAGTAAATAAGTAGGCTCAGCACAATTGCGAAGACAAATGGTACTGCAGTCTGCATCAACATACAAACCTGAAAACACTTCAAAAAGTCTTGTACAGCAAAAAAAAAACCTAAGTGGGACAAATATCAACATTTCAGCCCAAAGAGTACTTGCTGTTTCCCAAACTATTTAAGTACTAAGGAGCTTTTTCAAGCTTCTTTTCTCTAACTCCAAGGAGAATAAGTAGGTAATTTTGACAAATTCAGCTTGATTTGTTGCCATCTGATTTTATATTTTCTACACGTATTAATCTGTATCTAGCTTTAGATACCCATTTACAAAACTGTGGTCTCAAAACCAAAAGCATCCTCAGCTCCTTCACAATATCCAGAGAGGAGGACTTCATGAGTGAAATGGTTCTGAGAACCATGGGAGTAACTTTGCTGTAGGCAAACCTGAGATCATCTCAGGCCTACCTGAGACTTTCCTTCTGGTTGTTGCCTAACACGTTATCGTACACCACAGACTTACCTGTGGCATCCAAATTCTTTCCACTTAACACCCAGATCTTACTCCAAAGACTACGTCAGTAACTATTTCAACCCAGACACATCTAACATCATCATCTGCTACCAGTCCTTTGTGGGGAAAACTAAAGGTTGGGAGAAAGGGAGATGATACACAATACCACACTGTACGCAATACTTACGTCTAGTTCGGAAGAAAAATGGGTGATAATTACTCTCGTTTTTAATGGAAGGAAAAGGAACAATTTTTACAAAGTAATCTGTTTCAAACTTGAGATTTAGAAAGGGCTGGGATTCCATTCCCTACAAAAAGACAAGATTGCAACATATTTAAGATCAACTATTGTAACTGAAATTATCTTCCAAAAACAAGCCCACAGTTTTGCAAACATCTGCCAAAATTAATGTATTAAAAAATCCTTTATCTAATCCTCCATTACACACTGACATGAGGAATCAGTACTGAGCTGGATGTGGGCTATTACAGGTATGCAACCGTACTCCAGTCACCCGAGTAAGTTTTCTGCTTCAAAAAAGCTTCTATAAGGGGACTGTATCTGTCTCAAGAAGGAAAACTATCATTAGCTTAAAAAATTATACTCCTGGGAAGCAACCTGCATCCTAGTAAACAGCACATTGTGTATATATTTAGATTCATATGCAGCATATAAACACTTTCGAGACTACTCATGCAATCAAGCAATAATGAAACTTGTCTTGAAACAAAGCACTTACTGTTCGTTTAAAACTGGGGCTGAGCTGCTTTGGATCCTTTAAAACCATCTGCTGGCATTGTCTTCCCTCTGATTTTAACTCCTCAAGTATTACTCGAAATCCTTTCAGGTATTCAATCCCTGCAAACAGCAGGGCATTTAAATAGGAGACTAATATTTCCTAATGCATGTGTTATTTAATTTGAATATACTTCATTTGTCTTTAAAAATAAAACTTACCATTCATATGAAATATGTTTGTGGTTTAATACCTGGTTTTGTATGTCAGTTCTTCCCACATTTTCTATCTTGCCTATTTAGAATTCAACCTTTGGCAAAGGCTGCAATTACTATATACTTGCGTAATGCTTAGAGCAGAGGGGCCCACAACTCAGCTGGGGCTTCCAAATTATCACTGCAATAGAAGTTATCATTACCTCCACCACCCTTGGAGTACTTTATAGAGACTTTACATTCATATTATTAGCAACAAAATTGAATGTTTTGCTATCAAGTTATATAAATACACCTTTGTAACATCTTCCTATCATTTCTGAGACCACCAGATTAATGTGATAATGGTTGTTACAACTTCTTTGGTTCTAGTACAGTATGGGATAACAGAAAACTTGACTTAAGTGGAATGGAATTTATTCCAGTGCTTGAATACTTCCAGTTATTTATAACTGATGCCTGAATTACACCCTTTTATTTCAAGTTCCTCTAACACAACAAACTCTCAGCACAGTGCCTTTACCTTTCATTGCAAACTTCTCAAAATGGAATTACTTCATTACGTGACTAAACTGAGTCATGGTGATGTGAACGGCACAGGACAATGTCAGAGTGTCACCTGTGATATAGTTTCATGGCTCAGGTATCAAAGACTCTGCATAGTTCTTCAAGACTAACTATCACTCCTTCACCTAATTACACCTTTCAGTGGAATTAAGTATTGCAGAATACACAGTTATCAAAGACACAGCCACGGCTTTTGTAAGCTGAATGCTACATAAATAAAAGTGGATTAATCTGAGTTTATGCCATGCTTGTCAAATAAAAATAAAACTAAATCCCAAAAGTCTGATTCTCCATGGACCTCCCCCATTTCACTGGTTTCATGGTTTTGTGTTTTTTTTTAATGTTTTACAACTTTGTAGAAGATAAAGACCATGAGCTCCCAAATGCGTTCTTTGGAACAAAAGCACCACTTGTGCTTACATGAAGACCATGAAAGAGAAAGTGTCCAGTCTCCATGTCACCCGAGATGTTTCAACAGCAGTTCTGTCCTCACGCTTCCAAAGGATTAACCTCTGATCATTACAAGAAAGAACACCAAGCCTTGTTTCCCATAGAGATTTGATCCCTCCAGTCTACAGCTGAAGATTACCAAATGCTTTTAACTGCACAGTTTTACAGAAATAAGTGTAATTTTCATATATTCTTTTAAGCCCCAGAAATGAATCATGATTTTTTTACTTTAAAATTATGGAATAATGATTAAATAGTGGGAGACAACAAAAAAAAAAAAATGAAGCAAAACAATGTTGAGCACACCCCCCCAGTATATTTACCAAATCATGTGCTACTGTGCTAACATACAATGAACATTTTAATATACACACAAAAAACCACCCAAATTTTAAAAAGGATAAGATTAAAAAGTATTTAAAAATATAATTTTTATTTAATGATATGAAAACCTTGTTCCCACATAAAATATTAATCATATTTTTGAGTGAGAACTATGGGATCGAATACGCTTTGTTAGTTTTTAACATCTTGGTTTCACACAGTGATATGGCAATTCAAAGGTCTGGTTCCAAGTTTCATTACTTGGTTTTCATGGCTGTAATAGCTGAAAAAATAACCCCACAAAGATACATTGACCCAAATGGAGGAAATGTCTCATCATGTGCATTTACTAAATGATGATACCAATTCTTCACTCCCATCCTCTAATTATGCAAAGGTTTCTCCTGAGATTTGACCTATACATATCTACCTTCCCTGATGGCAGAGAAGCAGATATTGTTTTCAGCAACAAAATCACGTCACAAAGAAAACATTTCCAAACATGCTTTTTCAAAAAGCTCTTTCCATAGCATGAGTTTCTTTCAAAAAGCAGTTATTTTCTCTCTCACACCTTTACCCTGAAGAGACACATTAAGTTGGTTTGGGTGTTTTTCTTTCCCTTTTTTTGTGTTTCAATCTGCTAGGTAGCACACTACTGACAGCCACTTGCCATCACAGAAAAGGTCAGCAAATTTGGAGCCCTTCCCTTTTTGTGAAAGAAGAATGCTTAACTCAGAGAGGAGAGTCTGACAACCCCTAAGCACTTTGCCACAAGATAACCAGTGAAGGCACAAACCATTTTCACAGTCACTCCTCACCTCATTACAAAGTACTGTAAAGATTCTACTATTTAAATGTCTTGTTTGCATAAAAATAACAAAACTGATGGCACTTTGTGCACTTCTGGCCCCAACTTCATTGCTGTGAGTTTCCCTATGAATGATGCAATGACTGATTTCCATGTGTGGCTCTGTCTCTGTAACCTTATACAAGAACCCTTCTTTCCATTACAATATTTCCCTGTATTATTCCAGCCAGTGTTACTGTGGCAGGAAGAACAAGTGTTTCCACAGCAGTATGTGGCTTTTTGTCTTTCACTATTGATTAAGAAAAGAGGTTTCTCAAGATTTATCATGAAGTTTGGGGAAATGCTGTACTTTACTGGAGTACTGAATGGCTTCAAACATCACTGAAAAGAATTCAAGAGGTTTGTCTTCACGTTTGGGATGTTTAGTTTTCAAATGTCTTGCTAATCACGACGCTTTCACAGTACTGGCTAATACCTCAAGGTACACTAGATGCTTTCCCAGCTGGAGACCAGTAACGAGTGGTGTCCCTCAGGGATCGGTGTTGGGTTCAGTCTTGTTCAACATCTTTGTCACTGACATGGACAGTGGGATTGAGTGCGCCCCCAGCAAGTTTGCTGATGACACCAAGCTGTGTGGTTCGGTTGATACCCTGGAGGGAAGGAATGCCATCCAGAGGGACCTTGACACACTTGTGAGGTGGGCTGATGCCAACCTCATGGAGTTTAACCATGACAAGTGCAAGGTCCTACACCTGGGTCAGAGCAATCCCAGGCACAGCTACAGGTTGGGCAGAGAAGAGATTCAGAGCAGCCCTGCGGAGAAGGACTTGGGGGTGTTGGTCGATGAGAAAATGAACATGAGCCGGCTTCAGTGTGCCCTTGCAGCCCAGAAAGCCAACCGTATCCTGGGCTGCATCAAAAGGAGAGTGACCAGCAGGTTGAAGGAGGTGATCCTGCCCCTTTACTCTGCTCTCGTGAGACCTCACCTGGAGTATTGTGTGCAGTTCTGGTGTCCTCAACATAAAAAGGACATGGAACTGTTGGAGCAAGTCCAGAGGAGGCCATGAGGATGACCAGGGGACTGGAGCACCTCCTGTATGAAGACAGGCTGAGAAAGTTGGGGCTGTTCAGCCTGGAGAAGAGAAGGCTGCGTGGAGACCTCATAGCAGCCTTCCAGTATCTGAAGGGGGCCTATAGGGATGCTGGGGAGGGACTCTTCATTAGGGACTGTAGTGACAGGACACGGGTTAAAGCTTAAACAGGGGAAGTTTAAGTTGGATATAAGGAAGAAATTCTTTACTGTAAGGGTGGTGAGGCACTGGAATGGGTTGCCCAGGGAGGTTGTGAATGCTCCATCCCTGGCACTGTTCAAGGCCAGGTTGGATGAAGCCTTGGGTGATATGGTTTAGTGTGAGGTGTCCCTGCCCATGGCAGGGGGGTTGGAACTTGATGATCTTAAGGTCCTTTCCAACACTAACTATTCTATGATTCTAGGAAAAGGTTCATCTGTGACAATGGCAAGTGTAAATCTGTAGTTCAAATAATCCTGTTAATTTTGATCATTTTGGCCAACTTTGCAATAGAACTGAGTAGACAGTCATTATTTTTACCTTCTAATGTGGCTGACAAAGAGCCTGTACTAGGAGTAGGGGAACTGTCAGCTCTAGTGTTTTCCTGTTATTTGCGTGTGCCCGCGTTATGAGTATTACCTTCAATCACCTTAAGCCACTTGTCCATTTCATGATGGTTAGTTTAGTTAAAAGCAGATAATATAATCAGTAAATCCACTTAACCTGGCACAAAGCAATTGAAACAGGCAGGACACTACTGTGAACCCCTCCACATTATACTCTTCCTTCAGGACACCTCCCATACCACATGTAAAATGTCAACATCTGACATAGAGACCAAGTAAGGGTGCCAGTGTCAATGTATATATTAAATATTACTAAAGCCTATTTTTTCAAGATCTAAAATTTTATTCACATGCCCCAATCTTCTTCACATGCCCCCATCTTGCACATCCCCCTCCCCCTTTGGAGACTACTGCTCTAGTGGGCAACAACGTACTTCCAATGTCATTTAAGTGATTGAGGAATATTCTTAGTGATCAGCCCCAACAAGGAAACACACTGAAGTCTGTATAGCTGTGATTAAATAATCTTTTCCACCTGTGTGACAACTGGCATCCTGAAGAATGTTTAAATGTATCAGCAATTAAACTCAATCAATGCCACTGAAACGCACTAAAGCACTAAAGCCTTGGGGGACATAACAAAATCAGAGCTACTGCACAGTTCTGAAGAGCAAGAAAAAGTCAACAACCTGGAAGAGTAAAAAGCAGCATGTGGATGCAGGCAGCATCCTAGTTTTAGGAGTATTTCAAGTGAGCTAGTGAAAACAGCAGCTTTATAAAACTCTTAAGAGTTTCTTTCTTCTTAAGTCTGAAGAAGCAGTTTGCTTCAATGATTTCAAGCATAATTTTTTACTTATGTCAGATAGAAGTTATTACCAAAGACATGATGAATTAGTACATTTCGCTCTACTACTTACCAATGGCATTTGCTGTCCAAAGTATCATCACTGCAACCTGTTCATAACACGCATACTGACTGATAGTTATATTCTGCACATCTCCAATCACGTGCTTTCCCACTGAATTCAGGTAAGGTGTGCAGTCTGAAAATACAGAGAAACAAACACCCTGAGAAAAACATTCTAGCTGATGCTCTTGTGCCATACCAGCGCAAGTAAATCACAATCTGCCAACAGCATCTAATCTTAAAGACCTATTCAAGCAACCAGTTTCCAACATGACCTGCATCTTTCATATAAATAATTGGGCTCACTTCCTACCATTTCTTCAGGATTAAGCAAAGTATATGTCCTCTATTTAGTCTATAAAAATAAGTACTATGTAGTAAATCTAGACAAAGTTTTTGTCTCAGGACACTGAAAACCAGAAAGCTTTACAAAACATTGAGCACAACCACATTCACCAGTTGCAAAACCGTAGTTCCAAAGCAGATTACCAGATTATAATACACGTACTACAGTAAGAGTAAAAATGACACAGGTTGGCACTCCCAGAAGAGAACAACTTTTCCTCACTAATTACTCTAAAGAATATGAGGACTGACATTAATTTTGTGTATGTACAGTGCTTACAGCAATAAAATGTCGGTCAAAGATCAGAACATTCGAGAACAATCAACAGTGTGAAGCATTAGAGTTGGTGCTCATGAAGTGCTTCTTAACCATGATACTGCTCGATCCTGACCACTAAGAACATGCTGCCTAAATCCTAAATCTGTCATCCATTCAATAGCCACAATCCCATAGACCATTTTACGGCCACTGGATCCAGTCAGAACTGGTTTTGCCTTCTTATCCTCGCAAAACACAGAGTATTTCCTAAAGTTACAGCTCTGCAAACATGTAATTAGACCTCAGCTTTCATTATCAAATTAAAAAACCATTCCTGACTTTGTTGTCGAACTTGACCATGTCTTTATGCATTCAAACCCAGAAGACAACCCCAGATTTTAGTACTTTTAGAGCCTTACAATATTCAGCCTCATATTTTGTGACAGGAGGAGAAGTAGCAGCCAAAGAACTCAACAGTTCTGGAGCACAGTGTACATGAAGATGTGCATGCACAAACATTCTGCTTTGGGGGCCGTGAAGCCAACAAAATCAGAAAAAGCTGACCTGCAGCTTTATATTACTGACTGATGATTAAGTCTAAAAAACCTGAGATAACCTACATGCTATGTATTTGTCTACACACTTGGGAGAAACGAAACATGGAAAATCAGCTGATTTATGCCAATACAGGAAATCCGAATTTAATTCGGAGGTGTGAGCTTAAAGGCAAGGAAAGGAAAATCATTAACTGAAAAGCAGTTTTAGAAAGTGTCTTTTTATTATGAGTAACAATGTCAAGGGGTCTTTCATGTAACTACCACACAAATAAGAATAGAACAGTTTGCACAACAGTGCCTTTTACAAAAGCAGGGCAGTTGGTACTTTGCTGTTTGTAGAATTCTGTTGCTATGAGTGAACTCAATGACAGCATGAACTTCCTCTTAGGAGAATAGAGGATCTCTTTCAATGGAAAATTTGAAGTAACAGTTTTTTTGCTAGGTCTGGATCTAATTTATAGCAAGCCCAAGATTTTGGATCCTGGTTACTACAATTTTATGGTCAAATGACGATTTGCCAAAATGGAATATAGCACAAATGCCTGAAGTTTGACTGTGAGTCACTGATTTACATTTTTAAGGAACAACAGATTTAGGAAGAAACCAGCAGGGAAAAATTGCACTTTTCAGAAAACCACTTCTTTTACTTGAGTGCAAGGGAAATGCTAGAACATACAAACATTTGTTTTTCACCTGAATAAATAAATAATCTAACCAACTAATTTAACAACATCAACCACAGCTCACTAGAGTTGCTGTGTAGCAAACTAAAAGCCTTGAAATCACAGCCAGCAAGCCAAGTTCTCTTTTGTGCTGGCTTATTCGTGATAAGTATGTATTTCCCTATTATATGAACTCCTTAGCCTTGATAGCAGGGAACTCTTTTCCTAGTTCTGCAGAGCTCAAATAACTCCTTTGTCCAGGAAGCAAACAGCGCCAGCAGAACTCTGAATTAACACTTGTCATTGGTTAAAGACAGTTCCTGGTGCCAGAACTAATGGAAAAAAACAAGACAAATACTGGGACTTAAACAGACTCCATTGTGTTAACTAAATGTGGGGATCTCTGCTCTGACTGATGTTATTTCCTGGTTTTCTTTGTGTAGCTTAAAAAAACATCGTAACTTTTCTGTAGCCATCACTTACCTCTTGCACAATCTACCATACTTCATTTTTGCTCATTTTAAGTATCAACATCAAATTAGATTTAAAAATTATCTACAGTGAAGGACTGCAAATTCTTAACATAAAAATACAGGCACAAAAGGATGAGTGGAATGAAACAAAAGCACTATTGCTAGGTTTGCAGATACATACTCTCACTGGTGAAATTTTACCCACATTCAGCACCTGAGGTAATTTCTGTGGCAAAAAAAAAACCAACCAACCTGTGACATGCACTGGCATTAATACAAACATTACTGCTGTAAATCAGGACCTTCTCTTGATGGTACATAGGGTTTATCTTGATGTTGGCCACTAACTGCCCAAATAGATAAATTCCCAATGCAGTCAAACAGTCACTGACTAGACAGCAGAGATGACAAAAACTTTTAAAAAATGAGAATAGTAAAATACAGCAATTTAGCAGATGGTTGAAGACTTCTCAAGTATTATTGCTTCAAACTGCTTATTACTGTTCTTATGCTAAAGATTACTTTCCTCTTATTTTAGCTGCAAAACAGACCACATTTCCCACAGTACTACAACCATCTGTGCCACTGACAATGCAGACAGGAGTTTTCCACTAACCTGGTCTTTTAACACTGTAGCTAATGAATAGTTCCAACTACTTCAACTAGATGTCATCTTCAATATTCATATTCAAATCCCAACTACCTTGTCTACCTTGAGACACACTTTACACCATTTTCCCCAAAAAATTACACAAAGATATACAAAGCTTGATATAATCCTTTCCTATGACTTTATGTGGCGAACCTTTCAATTATTGTATTCTTTCACAGAAGAAAATCATAATCTATAATTTTCCAGCCAAAAACTGGGCAGATGATGTAGGCCAATTTGAAAGTGAAACTACTACGAATTATTAGATCATTTTATTAGCAGTGAAACACAGACAGGAGAAGATGCATTAGACCCAGCAAAAACAAATCTAGATTTAAAAAAATACATCAGTACTAAAGAGTTCATGCTACTCTCAGAGCCATTTTTAAGAGAGATACAATCAACTAGGTTGGAAAAGACCTTTAAGATAAGGCCCTTAGTGACATGGTTTAGTGGGCCTGGGGCTTTATCTACACAGTTTTTGACCTCTTCCAGACATAGTGAATTCACCACTTCCCTGACAGCCTGTTCCAATGCTGTTTCAATGAAGAAATTTTTCATGACATCCAGTCTACACCTCCCCTGGCGCAGCTTGAAGCTGCTTCCTTTCACTTGTTACTTGGGAGAAGAGACCAGACACCTCCTCGCTTCATCCTCCTTTCAGGTAGTTTTCAGAGAGCAATAATGTCCCCCGAGTCTTCTCTTCTCCAGACTAAACAACCTCAATTCCCTCAGACCTTCCATATAAGACCTGTGCTCACATGTTCCCATACACTGACAGCTGTGACGGAGTCCTTTATCTTTCTGTATATAGTGCAATTTTTCAACTTACTGTCATATTTAAAGGTGATATTGAGCAGTCCATTGTTCCTGGTGACTGATGACAGCCCCTGTAGAGAAATATCAAGACAGTAATTTAAATAAAGTAACCTATTTTGAACTCATGTAGATTTTTATTTTATAAATAGTTCACTGGAGGACGAACGAGCTTGTGATTTTTTTCCTTCTGTTCTGGCACATCACCCACCAGTCTGACCACAGGCAATGACAGAATGGGTTGTACACATCTGCATGCGCTCACCTGTCAGCAACTTTCCAAATGTAATAATCAAAGAAGTGAAAACAAAGAGAAATTGAAGCCTGAATGTAGTACCTGCATGAAAACATGAAGTTGTGACTTAAGTAGTACGACCCCAGCAGAGGCAAACCACTTATTTCCAAAAGTGATGTGACATTCTCAACTTCTACCACCCAGGTTAAACGTGCCCGTACAAACCCCACATCTTTAATCAGGGTTTAATGACAAGTCAAATTGGGCTCTCCAGGGCAAACAGTGCAAGGAAAGAGAATGTCAGTCAGAAAAAGCTGATGTCAATTCTGCAGTCATGAAAAAGAGTATCAGAAGTTCAAACAAAAAGAAGGAACAACACTGCCAAGCACTGTGCTCATAGCACTTCAGCTCTATTTTCTTGGTGAAGGTCATTTTGAGGAAAGAAATTAAAAGGTAGGAGCAAAACAGTACAAAACTGATTAAAGAGAACTCATCACCTCTCAGACACTCTTCAGCTCCAAACAGGTGCCTGAAGGACACTCTTTCCTATCTGTCTATTGGGCAAACAGATGCACCGCATTTTCAGCACATGCTAAATTTATCTATAATCAAGTGATCCTTTTTTTTATTATTTTATTTATTATATTTTAATATTGTTCAATGCTCACAAGAACTACACAGAACTCAAAGCTTAACATAAACTGAGGTACAGTAGCCATGGTTATGTAAAGTGGCTTATGGGCCTGGTTCATCAGCACAACCAAACTGTACATTTGAGAAAATTACTACAGAGTGAGTATCAATGTCCAGTGTCTAGGTACGTGCCTACATCTATCTTTCATCAATTTATCTTATGCAGATATAATGATATGTAATTCAAGTTTCTGTGCCTGATATAACTCCTGTGGAATTTACATTTCCATGTCTTATGTGGTTTATGCACTGGATCACTTTTCTGTTGGGTTTTTGTTGTTTTTTTTTTCATGTGAGAGGCCTCAATCATTTTACCACGTGTCGCAAACTTTTTAAAGAAAGCCTTGCTGAGAAGAACTTAATTAGACAAAAACACAAATGGAGAATTTAAATTTCAATCTCTCCCATTGATTATTGGCTAAAATCAACAACCAGCCAAGGAAGAACAAATAAAACAGTGGATTTCCAACCACCATAATTCAGATGATGCATCTCATGACTTTTCCAGTAGAAGTTCATATTGTAGAAATCCATTACACTAGACCAGACACATTTTTCCATTATCAAATACTATTAAAGCAGATACTGCCATTCTTGCCAGTGTCCCAGAAACTGAGGACCAGTCAGAGAACTTCTATTACTCTCCCAAGCAGGAGTCCAGACACATATGCAGACTGGTGAGTCTGCTCTCTCTTCTATAGCTATGGAAAAGAATTTCACCTTAGCCTTCAGAAATCACTGAAATTGGTTATGAAACACAGAATATTGCATCACCCTCAACAGAGGCAAGGCTGAAAACTGAACAATGATTTTTATGGAGTAGTATCATTTGCCTTGAAAGCCAAAGGCAAATAACATCATATTTACCATTATCATTAAAAAAAATACCAGTACCACCCATTGACACAGAATTGTATCCAGGTTTAGTACTACAACGTAGAGACCAGAAGTTAACAGTATAAAAGGACTCAAACAGTAATTGGATGTTGTCAGGATCACTCCTAAATATTCACTCTATGTCACTTAATAGCCAGAAACAGGCAGTTAGAAAGAAAAACAAGGTATGAGTTAAGTTACCATTAAAAAAAAAAGTAAAACTCCACATAAAGGATGGAAGTAAATCAGATCTTGATAATATTGTTAGAAGTTAAATTTGTAACGTCGCCTTCTTAGGTGGCTTTTCATTTGTTTAACTTTGATTTAGTTTGGCATTAAACATGCTGTTACACAAAACTGCTTCCTGAAGCAGGAAGGCATCGAGTTTTTTCAGTCTTAACTCTTCTATGAATACCTGTTCTAGTCTGACTCATTTTCTGTTTCGCTTAAACTAAATGTCATTTAACTGACTACTACTACAGCAAAACAAAGACATTGTGTTTGATTAAAAAAAAAGTACTGAGCTTTCATATTTATAACTGCAGCTAAACATCATCTAATTTAATTTTTACCTGTCTTCCTTTTGTGTCCTAGAGCTGAAGTTTTGAGAGACAAATTTCACCAAACCCCAGAGAAAGTCAGCACAAGTAATTTAATTCATTAGATGTATCTTTTATATCCCATATATTCAAAAAGTACCATGTAGCAGTGTAAAGGTGTCATGGCACCTTTAATTGCATTTCTGCTGGAATTATGGTGACATCATAAAATACATAACAGTTAGGAAGAAATCAATATATCACTATCATTAATACAGCAGATGCAAAAAGTAAATATAACATAAGGCAAACTCAGCTGAACTTAAGCAGCCCATGGCACACACTGGTTGTAAAAACTTGCTCCAAAGTGTACAGAAGTTGAAAAAAGCCAGCATTAATCTGCAAGAAAATGAGGGTCACCTTAAACTGTTGAACTATGTAACTGTCATATCAGTAATGCGCTAAAGCATGTAAGCTGGTCAGACGATTCCATCATGCTAAACTTTGGTATTAATCCCACAAGTAGTTACTGCTCTAAGTTTAAAAATGTACTCTTCCAGGAAGCAGTCCCTTGTTTTAAGCCATAAATTAACTGCTATTTAAATGGCTTATAGCTAAGGCAACTTGTTTAGAACATCATACTTTAAAACTACTAATGTTACGGCCTCAGGGCTCCACATTCTTAGCTAATTAACCACTAACATTTGTTGAATTTACATGCAGCTTGTATTTTATTCTGAACCTTACTAGAAAGCAAGCCTCCATTGCCTGGAGCTTTATCTACAAAATGCCTTTGGTCCACATACTTCTATGCACACTGACCGAGAAGGAATACATAGGAAAGAAAACAGACAAAACGTCTTTTATCAAGAACTATAGACCGCTGATCTTTAAACAGATAATTGAAGTTGAAATGCACACAGATTAAATTACAAATAACCTTATCTGTTAAAAAGCAAGCGTGTGGGCATATTATCTACAACATTAAACCTCAGATCATCTGAGCTCAAAACACCACAGAAAAACACGGTAAGCTAAGCTCCAAATCCTGCATCTATGTTGGGCATTTCCATCATGTATCACACACCTATTCCTCAATCCACATGAACAGCTTGAATAGGTAAGGTTAAGATCCTAAGATACCCTACATCAGCACAGTTCTGAATAACACTAATACACATCATCTCCTGAAGAATTAATAACTCATTTGGATATTCACGGCATGTGCAGGCATTTTATTTAAATACCCATCTTTCAACATGTATTAATAAGAGGCAAAGACTATTACACGAAGTTAACCTGTATTTTTGTTCATTTATGGTAACAACTTAATGAAATGCACTTACAAGTCTTTCTACCCATTACTACGCCACAGAGTAAGGATTACACTTCCAGAAACAAAGTCTAAATGTAATTTTTAACCACAGGTACTAAATGTGCCTCCAAGAAAAGTTAAACTAATGTCTGCCATCAGAGGCAGGGATTAAATACAATGGAAAAAAAATTTAAAAATCTGCTTAATTTTTATTGTTGAACTTTTCCCTCTTCCTTTCATTCTAGCACATAAAGAGTTTCACATTTTAAATTAACATCTGGTTTTTTGTATTTGACAATTCCTGCCAGAGACAGCATTGGTGTTTTCAGAACTGTCCTATGAATAACCATTTTTACAAATAATACTGAAATATACTCCGACATTCAACTGTTGTTGAGCAAACACTCTTCCATTCAATAAAGGCAACAGGGGCACTGTCAGGCAGCCACTTTAACATCAATACTAGGAAACATAGATGCTAACACTAATTACAAAGATCTGGTAAAGGAGGTAGGAAATCACTATCCCTCAGGCATAGCCTTGTGCACCAGACCAAAACAGTAATCATGATTCATCTTTCACATGTTGTTAATCAATGCACACATGGTCCTAATTTCATGCTCCCACAAGGCAAACTGAAGAAACAATTGTTTTTGAACTCTAACATCAAGATGCATAATCAATGTTTATCATACTCATTGCTCAGTAAACTAAAAGCTTTATATTTGACATCTGCTCTTTTCATGGTACAGCTTTCTGATGCTTTCACACAAGTTAAAATATTTTCTATTTCTACAGTCATCAGTAAACAGATTATCTGCACTATTTATACACCTACATTTTGGATGGCTTTCAACAGCGTACAACAAAATACATAATCCACACTAATATTTCCTATACAACTTGTATGTATTACATTGACCGCTGAATGAATTCTAAACCCTGGCTTGATGGGTTTATACTGTACTAATCCACTATAAGGAAAAAAAAAAAAAAAAGCTATTTCATATAAGAATCTGGGAAATGTAACTTTCTTTTAAGAGTAACATGTAATACTTACTTTCATAAACCAAACATAAGGAACTCGTACTCCATTTGTGTAACAATTGGCCAGACCTTTTATGATCATCAAGTATCTTTTTTCACAAAATGACAACATTATCCATGGTTTTATGGTTGACTTCCCACATAGATAATTACACTTCGTCTGAACAAATTCTCCTGCCATTTCACTAGATATGGTTTTCTCAAGTTCCTCCTCTCATGAAAGGATATTGAACAGCTGCTGACTTAAATACTGCCAGAGAATGAGCTGGTTCCTGAAAGTACACACACATAGTCATATACCAGCTAGCTTCACAGGGGTCTTTTAGGATTTTGGGGGTTGAAACATGCTGACTGAAGATCCCAAATTGT